GCACATATTTTCTCTGTGAAATAAATATCCCATCCTTAGAGCGAGCAACTTCAATTCCCAGAAAATACTTCAAGCTGCCCAAGTCTTTGATTTCAAACTCGTCGGCTAAATATTTCTTCAACAGAGGTATTTCCCCACTATCATTGCCTGTAAGAACTATGTCATCTACATAAACAATAAGCGGTGTCCTCTACAACGTTATGACACCACCATCCAGTGTCCTCTACACCGTTATGACACCCCCATACAGTGTCCTCTACAACGTTATGACACCACCATCCAGTGTCCTCTACACCGTTATGACACCCCCATACAGTGTCCTCTACAACGTTATGACACCACCATCCAGTGTCCTCTACACCGTTATGACACCCCCATACAGTGTCCTCTACAACGTTATGACACCACCATCCAGTGTCCTCTACACCGTTATGACACCCCCATACAGTGTCCTCTACAACGTTATGACACCACCATCCAGTGTCCTCTACACCGTTATGACACCCCCATACAGTGTCCTCTACAACGTTATGACACCACCATCCAGTGTCCTCTACACCGTTATGACACCCCCATACAGTGTCCTCTACAACGTTATGACACCACCATCCAGTGTCCTCTACACCGTTATGACACCCCCATACAGTGTCCTCTACAACGTTATGACACCACCATCCAGTGTCCTCTACACCGTTATGACACCCCCATACAGTGTCCTCTACAACGTTATGACACCACCATCCAGTGTCTTCACCAATGGTCTGACACGACCATACAGTGTCTCCTATCCTTTTTTATTTTTATGTATTTTCTTGTTTTGTTACTCTCTCCAAACTCAAGTTGGTTAGTTTCTCTCCTCCTTGAGTTTGCGGGGGGCTGTTAGAATTTCCCATCTTTACCTTCACCTACTCCACTACACACTCCACTTCACCTACCTCCACTTCACCACACACTCCACTTCACCTAACCCACTATCACCTCCACTACACCTATTACCACATTTTCTTCTATATATAGATTGTATAGGAATTGTAATAACCATCTTGTAATAACATCAATACATCAATCTTGTAAGATATCAATCAATCAATAATACATAATTTTTTACAAGAGACATTTGCTCCAGTTGTAAAGATGAATTCAGTCAAAATGCTTCTCTCTGTGACAATTAATCTAGATTAGCCACTTCATCAGCTTGATGTGAAGAATGCTTTCCTGCATGGTGACCTAGAATAGGTGGTGTATATGGACATGTGAGAATATGAGAGAATATGAGTGTTCTTTCTTTTTCCTTATAGGATTAGGAATTAGTGTTAGTGTCCTATATCTATTAGAATTCTATATATCATTTAAGATTAGGAATTAGTGTTCTATATAAATGATGTATTCTTTGTTCAATCAATTGAAGACTGATATACAGTTTTATTTAGAAAACTTATATGGTATCAGAGCCATCACCATTACTCTCTTATTCAAAACCCTAGAACTGTCACCATTGTTCTTTGATTCGTGCTCTCTCAGACTCACTGGTTGTCTTCAACTTGGGTGGGTGACCCATCTATTCCTAATTCGGAGTACCCATCTATTCCTAATTCGGAGTTGCGATTGCTAGTCGAAGCCGTGTTTGCTAGTCGTCGCAGTACTCTCATTGCGTTGACTTGGTGCTTCGAGTCATCTTCTTTGTTTGGCTCTGATCGTGCTCGCGAGGCAACAAGGGCTCACTCTCACACCGCTTCACTCACTCTCATCTGTGCCTTTGAGTCGTCTTCTGTTCTTCGACTTCGTTCTCTATCTCGCTCGCGAAGGTATGCTTTCTCTCTCTCTCTCTCTCTCTCTTGATGGTGTCATTTTTGGCAAAGCCTCTCTCTGGCTCAACTTCGCTTCGTGAGATCGCCTCTCTCTCGCTATCCCTCATCTTCTCTAGATTCTATGAATTTTTTTTTTCAAATTTACTCTTCTATTCTGTTGGTTCTGGGTATTTACACTTGAAGCCCTGATTTGTCTTATTTATACTTCGACCCATACCTGTGTTTTGTTACAATGTCGAACACTAAAATTCAAGTCATCAAATGCAAACTTATAGGTGGCAATTATGTTTATTGGGCTAGTGTTATGAAGATCAAAAAAAATGGGGCTATGTTTCTTGTTTTGTTCCTCGTCCATCGGACTCGAAGGTGGAAGGATATCTGTCTTCCTGTGATACTTGGGATTGTGATAATGCTTAAGTTCTAACCTGGTTTAATGACGTTTTCCAAGTATAGTACTACCAAGAAAGTGTGAGATTATTTACTAGGTGTTTATAAGAAAGAACACTCATATTCTCACAGGACATTCCTCCTGGTTTTGAAACTCTTCAACCAAGGGAAAGGTATGTTGACTTCGGAAGTCATTATATGGCTTCAAATAGTCCCTTAGGGCTTGGCTTGCGAGGTTCACTCAGGTGATGCTAAAATATGGCTTCAAACAGAGCCAGGCTGATCATACGCTATTTGTTAAACATTCCTCTTATGGTAAGATTACAGCTCTCATTGTATATGTGGATGACATAATGCTTACAGGAGATGATGTTGAGGAAATCCCTTTGTTGAAGTATTTGGCAAGTGAATTTGAAATCAAAGACTTTGGAAACCTGAAGTACTTTTGGGGAATTGAAGTGGCTATGTCCAAAGATTGGATTTTCATTTATTAGAGAAAATATGTCCTTGACCTATTGAAAGAAACATGGATGCTTGGAAGCAGAGCCTATGACACGCCATTGGAGCCTAGTCAGAAACGTTGTGGTGATAATGGGAGAGCAACTGTTGATAGGGGGAGTTATCAGAGACTAGTGGGTAAGCGCATTTATTTATCCCATTCTTATCCTGATATTGCTATTGTCATTAGTGTGGTTAACCAGTTTGTGCATGCTTCTCATGAAATACACTTGGCGGCAACTATGAGAATATTAAGATGCTTGAAATATTCTCTTGGAAAAGGTCTTTATTTTTCCAAACATGATCATCTTAGTGTGGAAGCTTATACGGATGCGGATTAGGCAGGTTTTGTGACTGATAGGAGGTCCACCTCAGGGTATTATACCTTTGTTGGAGGCAATTTGGTTACTTAGAGAAGGAAGAAACAAAATGTGGTTGTCAGGTCCAGCTCAGAAGCTGAGTTTAGAGCTATGGCATAAGGTGTGTGTAAGCTCTTGTGGATCAAATTGTTATTGCGTGATCTGGGAATTGGGCATGTTTTGTGATTGATAGGAGGTCCACCTCAGGGTATTATATCTTTGTTGGATGCAATTTGGTTATTTAGAGAAGTAAGAAACAAAATGTGGTTGCTAGGTCCAGCTCAGAAGCTGAGTTTAGAGCTATGGCACAAGGCGTGTGTAAGCTCTTGTGGATCAAATTGTTATTGCGTGATCTGGGAATTGACCTGAGACTCCAATGAGCTATATTATGATAATAAGGCTGCTATCAACATAGCTCACAATTCGGTTTAACATGACCGGACAAAGTATGTTGAAATTGATCGTCACTTCATCAAAGAGAAGCACACTAGTGGTACAATATGTATTCTATTTGTGAAGTCTGGTGAACAACTTACTAATATCTTCACCAAGGGAGTTGGGAGTAAACCATTTCATGACATTCTTGGCAAGCTAGGTATGAGAAACATCTTTGCACCAGCTTGAGGGGGACTGTTAGTATATATGATTGGAATCATTCTATTATTTGTGTTTCCTTATTTAGATTATATTGTAATTTCTTAATCAGTGTCTTTTCTTTCTTTGTAACAGTTTGATTGATTAATATAAAAGGGGTGTTATTAATATCATTCCCTCAGTTAGCTTTCTCTTAAGCAAACAGGTATTTCAAGAAACAGCCATTAGAGGCCCTGCTAGTTGGCATTTGATTTCAAACTTCCATGGAAGTTGAAAAGAATGTTCGTCATCACCCTGAAATACATAAAGATACATATTAAATTTAAGAATGTGATTGGTAAAATAGGTCCGAACAAAATTAATATGTTCAGAACTAAGGTGTCAAAAAATATGAATAACTTTCGGTTATCATTGCCGAACTATTGCCTTTAGTTCGGCCCTGTGTTGCCATTCTTTTGTCATATGTTCGGGAGTTCAAGACTGAAAAAAGTCAAACCATTTTTACCATTTTTGTCTGTTTTTTTTTAAGAAACTTATTGTTACAAAGCAACCTCCTCCGAGTTGTGAACACCATCCAAGCTGTGAACCTCTTCTGAGCATACATTGTTGTACTCCATTCGTCTAATGAATTGTGGTTTCCAGAAAAACTTTCACTCATTGCCATTGCCGGAGAAGTGTGTTGGTGGTGATAGAGTTGGGTGCTCTCATAAACCTTATCTTATGATTACGTGGGTGTGGGCTTAATTGTGCGATAGGGTGTCTCAAAGTAAATGATGTCCTCTTTAATAATTTCATTTGAGGGTATTATTCTAATAAAAAAATATTTGGGGAGGTGGGGGCGGGGAAAGTAATAAGTGGGGTGCTAATAGCAGCACTCTTTATAAAAGGGCAACCCAATGCATGAGATGCTCCCACCAAAGTGAGGTTTGAAGAGGCTATTTTTGTGTCTTGAACCTGTGCCAAACACTAAAGGCAAGCCTTACTGGTGAGCCAAGCCACTCTTTCTATTATATTAATGTTAATGGAAAAATCACATTATTTTGGAATAGTATCTTTGCATAGTTGGTAACCAGCTTGGGGAATGATAGAATATCACCCCCTATTTATAAATGAAGATTAGGGTTTTTTTTTTTTTTTTTTTTTTTTCTTTTTCAATTGGTTGGGAAGATTTTTATGAAATATAGTTAAACTTAATACCTGTTAGATCTGTATCATTTTCATAATCAGGTTGGTTGGAACATTTTTTGTATATACATTACTTATCATTGCTTTTTGTGTGAGTGTCAACTGCTGATTTTGTAGTTTTGGTTTGTGATGTGTGAAGTCAGCTAATTCTTCCACATGTTGTTTGCAGTTTGATGTCTACGATGACAAAACTTCTGGCAAAGGTATGATGATGCTGAAGTCACAAGGTTTAGTTGTCTATAAGGGAAATGTGTATTCTTACAGAAAAGTTATACAAAAAAATTGGGTAAATTACAATGGCAATCCTTATACTTTGGCTCTTGTGTCATTTTGGTCCCTGTAATTTTAATTAGTATAATTTTGACCCTAAATTTATAATTTTGTTTCAATTTGGTCCAATTGATTATAATTTCTAGTGATAAATGTGAACATTAGTGACATGTGTCATGGCTTTATAGGTAAAATTGTAAACTTGTTCAACTTAGTGTGTTAATCTCAACAGTGACCATTTTTTTCCACAAAACCCTAATTGACGTTATCAATTGAACCAAATTGACACAATCTAAAATTAAAGGTCAAAATTGTACTAATTCAAATGACAGGGGCCAAAATGACACGAGGCAAAATGCAAGGACTACCGATTTAAATTATCAAAAAAAATACATCTAAAATAATGTGATAATGACATTTTTAAAATTAAGTGCCATTTTAATGGGTGTTTTTGTTTTAAAATGACTGAGCCCAAATTAACCATATCATTTTGTGTAACTTTTTTGTTTTATGGCATTACTCTATCTATAATTGATAATGACATTACAACTAGAGCTACAAATCAGCCGAGTTATTCATAAACATCATGGGGTCTGTTAAGATAATTGTATGAAGAGAGAGAAGAAAAGAGAGAAAAAAGAATCTTTGTATATTGAATAATATATTGTATTGTGTATCGAACTTATATATAGGACTTATATGGAGTTTAACGACCCTTCTCAAACTCAACTATGTAAACTAACTTGAGTTTAGAAGAACAGAACACAAAATAAGTGAGAGTTTGCTGCTAAGGCAAACGAAAGAGCCTGCTAGGGGCGATTGAGAAGAGTTTGCTGCTATGGCAAATGATAAGGGCCTGCAAGGAGTGATTGAGAAGAGTCTGCTGGTAAGGGCAAACGAAAGAGCCTATTAGGGGAGATTGAGAAGAGTCTGCTACTAGGGCAAACAATAAGGGCCTGCTAGGGGCGGCTTATGATAGGGTACGCCAAGGGGCGACTTAGGTGGTGTGTCAAGGGGTGGCTTGGATGGTTCACATGGTGTATCACCATGCTCACCCCCTCAAACTCAAATAGGTTTCAAAGAGAGAGAACTGAAAGAGAGTGTGGAAGCACAAAATAAATAAATAAACGGATTTTGATCCGAATTCAGATCTATATTGAAGGAGCGGAAGATTGAGATTTGATGCCCGCAGTAGAGGTGGTGGTTGATTGGTTACTGGAGATTGGGATTAACACAGGTATCTATTGAAAACTCTAGCGGGTAGCAAAGGCAAGGTTTCCAATCGGCCACCCACTGGTGAACTAGAAAGGTCAAATCTTATAGCTCTGATGCCATGTTAAGATAATTGTATGAAAAGAGAGAGAAAAGGATCTTTGTATATTGAATAATATGTTGTTGTATTGTGTGTTGAACTATTCCAATAGTTGGCCTATATATAAGACTTATAGGGAGTGCTAATCAAGAAATCATGAGAATAAGAAAATCTACAGAAATATAGGAACCTAACAAATATGGAAAATAATATATTCTAGATATGCTTTAACAGGCTCAGCCAAGCAATCCAATGCTTTACTCATTTTTGTTTGCAAACATTATCACTTAGGACCTAACTCCCATCTAGTCCATAATTTGGAGAACTCTTTCTATATATCATCCACACGAAAAAATTAGTTCGATCCGATAATTGTAACTTATTTAATTTATTATATTTGTTTCCAAAAAAATGGACGACAAGTGTGTTTTTAAAAATAGATCATCAATTTTTTTGGTGACAAACATAATAAAGTGAATAAGCTACAAATATCGGATCAGCCTAATTTTTTGTGTTAATGATATATACAAAGGACCTTACGAGATGAACGGTTTAGATCATCAAAACGAAACTCATGGTGGGCCCCACGAGCTAGGACAACACTCAGTCCTATCACTTAATGCTTGTTTTGTAATTTTCTAAACATCATGATTACTTATTGACCATTTGGTGCTCAATATTACATTAAAATGAATGGTCCTAGTTCAACCACATCATTTTGTATAACTTTTGCATTTATATAGCATTGCTCTGTTTATAATTATTGGTAATGAAGTAACAATTAGGGCTGCAAATGAGTCAAGTTGTTCATAATAAACAACCTGACTTAGGATCAGTGTTAGGCTTGAGCACTCAACTTGATGAAGACTGTTTAGTTATTAAACGAGTCGAGCCAATCCAATCCAATGCCAAGCTCGATTGTGTTCTTAGATATTTTCGTTAATCAAATTTTGATTTGTAATTTCCTAAAACTAAGGACTTACTATGAAGCATGGATACAGATACAGATACGGGGTACGATACGATTTGAATAGGAACCCAAATCTCTCAATCTCTTTTCTCGTAGGGTTGGGTTGCGATGGCGATCTCTTTCTCTCCAGATCTGGAAACCCAAATCGAAAGAGGTTGTTAGTGTTAGTATATATTAGTATATATATTAGCTGTCAAACCTTTAATAGTATACCTTTAATGATGTTGTGTGGTTTGTGTTTCTACTTTCGGTTTGTAATTGTTCTCCCTCTCCTCTATAAAGGAGAGAGCTCAACATACATCAATTAATATAATACAATCCATATATATACAATTCTCTATTTCTCTTTATACATTATATTTTAACATGGTATCAGAGCTAGGTTAAGCACTTAGTATTTTTCGCCTCACCGGCGGGCGGCAACCTCGCCTTGGCCGCCCGCCGGACCTCAACCTAGTCCGCTAGAATTTTCTACACATACCTTGAAATTTCTTCGAGTCCACCACCTTCACTGCCCCTCCTCTCACTGTTGTCCTCCCATACACCACCATCTCGGTCGTCTTCATCTACCACCACTGTTGACCTTAACCCGTCGCTGCAGTCCCTTCAATCTGATCAACGGCTGGACACACACACACAATGCAAATCTCTCTCTCTCTGATACAGAGGCACAAATACACAGAATATGCAAGTTCTTGTGTGGGAATAGTGTGTTTGGTCATAGTATTGTGTTCAGCTGTGCCAAGTTTGGCCACAGTTTACACAGTAGGTGACTCGAGTGGATGGGCTATTGGTGTTGATTACAGCACCTGGACTAGCGGCAATGACCTCTTTCAGTCCTCTCCACACAGCAGGGCTTCAAACCCTATAATCCAAGACTCGCAATTCGGCAACATGTTTAGTCCATTACTGCAGGCACCCATTCTGCCAAAATCTCCATCCTCGTCCACACGCAAAGGAGGATCATGCGTTTGGGTGAAATCTGGTCACAAACAGGCCACTGTGAGAGTCGAGGGGTTCGATTGCTTAAACCGAGATCGCAGAAGCATATCCGTTGTAGCACTACCGTTCGATCAACGATGACACCATCACCCAGCCACGTGTACGCTTCATGTGCAGCTTCGGCGGCGAGATCCTTCCCCGGCCCCACGACAACCAACTCCGCTATGTCGGCGGCACCCGCATCGTCGCCGTGCACCACCACATCCACAGGCGGAAATTTTAGAGGGAGTGATGGACATTGACCTGGTAGTCCATTTGAAACTTCGAGAAGAAGCATTGCTTGCAAAGTGCCTCGGAAGAAGGATTTGCAGTGAGTGTGGAGGGAATTACAATGTTGCCTGCATTAACATCAAGGGTGGAGATGGAAGCCCTGAATGGCAGACACGGGGCATTCTCTCTCTCTCCTCTCTCTGGAATACACACCACACATGCATGGCACATTTTTCTTGCTCTCTCTCTCTCAGGGGCTCTTTCTCTCTCCTCCTTTGTTGTGTGAGACTGATGATGGGTAACACAGCAGAGGTGCTCCACTACGATGGTGGTGTCTTTTTTAAAACCATAATCATCTCTCCCACCAAAATAATATCTTTCACATACCCACCATGCTCCCTTTTTTATTTTTAAAACCCATCTTCTCCACTGCCCCATATATATATATATATATATATCTCTATTGTCAGAGTTTGTTGGACAATGGAGGATATGTAATACCTTTAAAACATATTTAAAAATAATAATTTTTTGATTAAAAGTCAACTAATTACATGAAACAACTCTATCTTTCTCTTTGCCCCCCTGCCCACCCCTTCAACTAAAACCCAGTGCCCCTGTTCATGATGGTCCCATCAGCATGACAACTACCGCTTTTTCCACAAGGCCCACAACCATCAATGCATCTCTTCTTTCAAATTATATTGTTGCTTGATCCTTCTCTATTCTTCATGCCCATCTGATTCCACCAACAAAGACCATGAGTGCTGCTCCACGACTGTCATACTAAGAAGCACAAATACGACATGATATAGATACGCCGACTTGGTAATTTTAAAAAAAATAAAGATATGATACTATAGGGACATGAGCCACATGACAATAGATAAATATAAAGAACAATTTCTTTGTTTTTTAAGTTGTAAATACATTTTTATTTTATTATATCAAAATAGCAAGAATCAAAATTGTTTTTTTGGATCGGCAAAAATTGGTTATTAGTTGTTAGATTAGCAGCTGGGGGAGTTGATCCCCTAACCTCACCCTTGCAAGCACCCAAGTGCTGCACCCATGCCACTAGGCCACAAGGCCATTGGCAAGAATCATTTTTTACATTCTCTATATAGGAAAGGAAGTCTGAAAAAAAAGTTCTAATGTCTATTTTAGAAAAGCTCTATTCAAGAACAATTTGGAACTTTTAGGGCTCATGGTTGTGTTTTGTTAGAATTTACCTACACCTACCACCACCTACTACCACACCTACTACACCTACCACCAATTTACCCTCACCTACTCCTCACCTACTACCCAAACCCTCTCCTATATAATGAGCCACTCTGATTTGTAATAGAACACATCAAAATTAATCAATCAATAATACGTAAATTTTTACATGGTATCAGAGCAGGTTTAGAACCTAATAGTTTCGCTTCCCCGGTGGGCGGCAATCTCGCCTTGGCCGCCCGCCGGACCTCAACCTATTCCGCTGATAAAATCAACAAAGATGTGTGCAACTGTAGTCATAAACCTGCAATTCCTTTTTGTCATAAATCTCCAAAGAAAAGTCCCTCAGCATCTGAGCTTTGTTGTTGCTCCCAGAGCTCACGCTCGCCGGAGCCATACTCGACTTCTTCGTCCCAAACGTCGCTCCCGACACCGCCGGCGACAGGGGCCTAATTTCCACCCCACCACCCACCGGCTGCGGCACCGACACAAACGACGAGATCGCCCATCACTGCGGCTGATTCACTCCGGCCTCCCCAGCGTATGCCTCGCCACCAGCAGACCCACCACCAATACAACACCTTCTTCGACGGTGCCGCCTCCGAGCTCTCCTCTCGCGGAGCCGTCCTCCGCCTCCGCTTCTATGACCATGATGCCAAGTGCGTCGTCTGTCTCATAGCCAAATCTGTGCTGGTCGGCGGCGTGAGCCGTGTCGAGGGGGAAGGGGAGGAGATGGACCCCCTGCTCGGCCGCGACTGCGTGGTGGACCCCTCCAAGCTTGCTTCGGTGGATTTGAGGATTATGAAGAGGGAGGAATGTTAGGGGAGTTTATGACTGGAATGGATTGAAACTGGAGGTCGATCAGACAATGTATGATTTTGGTACTTGTTATGAGACCGAATGCGAGAGTGCAGACCTCGACAAGGTCAAGAATTTGATTGAGGAGTTTCTCAAGGATAATGGGATTCATTATTCTTACTCAGAGGCTTCAAAGTTTGCAATTTTCCGATGCTCTGAGGAAAGCAAAAGGTGGGTTACGTGTGGAGAGAGAGAGAAAGGGGCACACCCAATTCACTTTTCTTTTTTTAATCACTTGTCCACCGTCCAAATTTTATTTTTTATTATAACACTTACGTGGTGCTGGATACACTTTTGGCCAAGACATATCTGAGCAATTCAACCATACTTTTTCTTTTTCACCCACTCCTTGTTCCCCACTTTCTTTATTTTATATATATATATATATCTATATATCTCTTTTTATTCTATATTACAAAAAAAAAAAAAAAAAAATCCATTATTTTTTTTTTTTTTCTCCAAACCATTTTCCTTTTTCCCCCCACCTTTTTAGCTGTCAAACCTTTAATAATATACCTTTAATGATGTTGTTTGGTTTGTGTTTCTACTTTCGGTTTGTAATTGTTCTCCCTCTCCTCTATAAAGGAGAGAGCTCAACATACATCAATTAATATAATACAATCCATACATATACAATTCTCTATTTCTCTTTATACATTGTATTTTAACAGTTAGCAGTGGTAGAAGAGTCAGCGGTAGGGGGTTGCGGGGTTGTCATGGGAATGGGAGACTGGGGAGGGGTCATCGGCAGCGATGGTGGCGGAGGCTGATGGTAATAGTGGGTGGCTATAAAGAAGGGGTGTGTATTGAGAAATGGCTTGAGGGACAAAAGGGTAACTTGATCGAGGGACAAAGATGTAATAAAAAAATTAGAATGATGGTGGGAATTGAGAAAATTAGTGGTGTGTAAATAGAATTTCCCAATAAGTAATATGCATCTTAACTCAACACATATCACAAAGGCAGAGCGTAGCTCAGTGGCAATAGGCTTCTTCCACCCTAGGGATGTAATCGGTTCGGTGCGGTCGGTATTTAGGTGAAATTCTCCAGCACTGCACCTTCAAGTGTGATGCGTGAAATGAAATGGCCAGTTGACCTAAACCCGTGGCACAGTTCTTATGGGCGACCGGTTTAACCAACGGTTCAAGTGGTTCCTCTAAATGAGGCCAGTTCTCGAGAGCTTCTGGTTTCAATGGTTAGCCCGAATCAGAACCTAGACTAGTCAACTGTTCAACTGGCCAGTTTGGTCCGGTTTTAAAAACATTGTGATAGGGTTCCTAGAATGTGGACAATTTTAGAAAAGAAACGAGTATATCGATGTAACTAAAGACATAAGATGGAACGATGACTAGTGTGATAATAGGAGGGGCCAAAACAATTATCTTTTCAATAACAATAGCCTGGTTTATTTCTTGTCAATGGGTTGAGTCGAAGTGGAGGAGACTAAGTCATCAATCGTGTCATAATTGATTTCCTATTTCCAGATGAATGAGGGCCACAGAACCTTCAACCAATTGGCAGTAAGTGCTTATGTTTTTGCATTAGTTATAGATGAACTGACTAGGAACATTAAAGAGGATATCTTTTGGTGTATACTATTTTTAGATGAAATAAGTTGACAAAACAAAAGAATGAGTAAACTTTCAGTTAAAATTATAAAGAGATTCTTAGAATATAAATGGTTTAGCTTAAGTAGAACTAAGACAAAATATATAGAGTACAACTTCAGCTCTTGTTCTTTGTAGATGGTACCTACAGTAGAAATTGGGATGAAGATAATAGAGCAGAACTTGATGGACATGAGATACCCAAAAGTGATCATTATTGACATTTTGGGTAAATTATTTATAAAGATGGTGAGATTGGCGAGGACATGACCCATTAAGTTAGGGTGAGATGGATGAAATGGAGGAGTGCATAGCGAGTGTTATGTGATCATAGGATTCCTATCAAGTTGAAGGGAAAATGTTATAAGATTGCTATCATGTATGTTATTGAATGTTTTCCGGTTGAGAAAATAGATTTTCAAAAAATTAGTATAGTTGAACGAGAATGCTGAGACGGATGAACGGTGTTACAAGAAAAAATAAAATAAGAAATGAATTTATCAGGAGAAAGTTAGAAACAACACCAATTGAAGATAAGATGAGGAAAAGTAGTTTGAGGATGGTATGGTGATGTGCATCGTTATCCAATTACCTATAGAGGGTGGTGGTAAAAGAATTAGAGGAATAGCTTGGATTAAGATATGATAAAAAAAAGATAGGACTGTGTTATATGAGGATAGAACCAATTGGAGGAAATGGATCTGTATAGCCAAACCTAAGTAATTGGCACAAATATGCTTTTGTAGTTGAATTGATTTGAGCACCTAACTTTTGTCTGACATACTTTGAAAACCCTGTTACATCATGTCTTCATTTGTTAGATTATTCATTTGTTAGGCTTATTGACAGCCGGCTCGGACTTGGCTTATAAGCTCTTGAGCGAGCTGATCCCAAATGTGCATAGCTGGGCTTGTCACTAACACGAGCTGAACCCAAACACACCTGTGAAGTGCTGAGCCTGAACACCTACAATTCTTGGGTCTGAAATATCTATATGTCATCTGTTATACTGGGTTATCAATGATTCATATGTTGAGGGAGAGCAAGTTTCTGGCACTAATGTTCAAACATAACCATGGAACGGTTGAAAATTTTGTCCGGTCATTGATTTGAGTTACACTTTGATGCAGGGAGTGATGAACTGGAGAGTAAATTTTCAGTTGTTAAAAGGACCAACAAAAAGGGTGCTTATAAAACTTCAGAAAACTCTGAAAAGAGGAAGTCAAAAGATTCATCAGAGTTGGAGGAGGACAAAGAGAAGGATAGCGATGACGAGAGTGATGATGGGCAGGCAGAACAGAAGATGCAGCGAGGTGGAAAGACTGGTAGAGGTCGAGACAATGGTGCTCTCAAACTGACACCGGAGAAGAAAAGTGCAGAGTGCGCTCAAGGAAAAGGAAAATCAGCTAAGAGGGGAAGACACTAGAGAGTTACAAGCTACAATTTCCCCAGTTTGGCTTGAAAATTTTGTTCATATTTTCTATTTAGTGGCTGCTGTATTGACATTGTTTAGTTTGATGCCATGCAAACACGGTCTCCATTGCTTATTGAACGGATCAAATTAGACACTCCTGTTAATTTCAGTGAAGGGACACGGTTTGAAATTTGGATCGCAGCAGTATGGGTATATTGTTGTTGATAGAATGGCAAGCATTAGAGTAGTCATTTTGGTCAAGCATTATAGACTAATAGTATTATAGTACTTATGGACAATGCACAAGGCTACTGTAATGAAAATTTCTCTCCCCTTAAATTCTTGCTCCTTTACTTGCTTCCTCCATTTCAGGTTTTTTCTGTTGGGCCTTGTCAGAATTATTTTGTGGCAAACAGATGGTAGGGCTGAGGTCGTTCACACTGTCATGAACATGGCCTGTTTGGTGCAGCTTATTGCTTTTTTTATGGGGGGATTTATTTATTTATTTATTCTTTAATAAATATTTGGGAGTATGTGGCAGTGTTTTAGCTTTTGCATTTAGACTATTAGTTTTTAGTTGTTGGATGGGTTATGAATGTGATATGCGCTAGACACTCGAGTCTCTGAGTTTTAAAATAAGGGTATTTTGATGTTACTTTTGACTTGTACATAAGTACCACAGGAAGCGCTGCCATTGTTGCAATGATACCTCAGGAATGGTGCTATTCAGAACAAAAAATGGATGGTCCTGATTTCTCTGATCACATGATAATGATGCACCATGTATGGCAAATGGGAGATTGGTATTTGAGGATGAGATATGAATTATAATTATCCTTGTGATGCACATCGAGCTACATGCTACTAGAACTAGTACTAGTATTAATAGCTGTGGAAGTTGTTGAAGGGCCCAACCCTCCAATCATGTTTGCTTTTAAGGTCAATCATGGAAAGGTCCCACCTCATTTCCGGACTACCATACCACATTATTTACATGATGTTTTAAATTAATTAGGTAACATAAAATTTTATGAGGACATGTTATTTAGGATACAAAGTAATCAAGAGAATCATGTTGATGTGCTCGTATTGCGTTTAAGGGGTGTTTGTTTCATATGATTGAGGCATGGAATTAGACTCTATGTCCAATAGATTTATTGGTTCATCGCTTGATTAGAAAAGTGAAAGTCGGGCTAATAATCAAATACACATCATTTCTAGCTAAATAATCTAGAGACTATTTATCTCAAGGCTAATAGTCTATTATATTGCAATTCCTTCTATCTAGTTAGTCCAAACAAAAATTCTCTTAATGTCTATAATATTTATACAACTAACCTCGATCCTAAATAACGAATAGGGGTTATGCGTTAGGTAATCTAATAGTTAGTATGTAAAATTTTCTATCTGATCTCTTATAAATATGAATCTTGAAATAAATATATGTGATTTAATTATCATGTTGATAACCTCACATGATATTTTTTAAGTATATCTAATAATTTAACTTGCCCAACATGCATTGTTATTTGGTAGTGGCTTCACTCAGTACCAACAAGCTTGTTGGAATACAGATACGATTGAAGGTCCCCTAGGCCCAAACTGGTCCCATTTTGAAGTTCAGTGTCCTAATGAGAACACAACAGTCATTGATTGTGAACAGTTTTGAGTATGCTATCGTACCAGCATTCTAAATACTTTAATGGTGTTATGCATTCAAGCATTTTTACATTGTATTTGGATCATGAATTTGGGTAAAAATTTGAAAAAATTTTTTTTAGATAAAATATGAATAAAATATAATTATATAATATGAATATAATAAGCTTATTGTGATTTCATAAATGTTGGTGGAAATGAGTTTCTCTTTCTTACCCTTGTGTTTTATTCAACCTTACAGTGATGGGAAAGACTGAATCCTATTATGGGTGGGTCGATGACCAATTTTCGTGTATTATTATATTTCATTTACCCATCAAAGAGACATGAAAACCTTTCGTTCTGTTAGTCAATCATCTCTCTCACCCTCAATATGCTTGTTCTATTCATAAGTATAGTGAGTGATGAGAAAAATTGGATTCTATTGTTCTATTCTTACTCTTAGTTTGTTTTATTCCCATAAATAACAAATGTAAATCATTGCCCACACGTGTTAATATAAACCTCTTAAATAAGGGTAAAATAGTCATTAAAATTGTATAAAATTAAAACTTTACACTCTCCATATGAGATCTCTCTCTCTCTCTATATATATATATTGAATTTTACCCACATGAAATTATTTTTAAGAACAAAAGACTAAAATTAAATATATTTTATTATCTCCTTACACCCATTTATCTTAATCCCTACTACTTTTTTTCCCTTCTCAATTTTTCTTCTTTGCTTCATATCTATTTTCAAAAAATGAGAATCATGGTGTTTTGATCATATAAGAAAACAACAAATGAAGAAACGGTGGTGAAGAACCATAAAAAAAAGTGAAAATGGTGAATTTTTTTATTTGTTTGGTAGGTTTTCATTTTGTTTTTTGATAGAGTTCTTCTACTTTTGTTCGGTGTGTCAAAATTAAACAAAATAAAATAGTCCGGAATCACATTGCCAAACAAAACTATATCTAGTAACCCACTACTTAATAAAGGACACATTTTCGGTAACCCAAGGCTGAACAATTTTAATTTGTTTGTTTATTCATTATTATGCATTTTCAATTTTATTTTTTTGCTTGCAAGGACTATGCTTTTATTAATTGCAGTAATGCAAATACAATCATCTGGCTGTTGAATATTTTGAAGGGTACTCATTTGCTGGTAGATTATTTAAGGATGAAACATCTTCGTTAGTTGACATGTCAAAGAGTATGGTGCGATCAAAAGAGATATTGATTACATTGAAACGAATGGATACCTTTAATGCGACAATAATAAAGACAATCTACAATGCACGTAGAGCGATAGGTGGCTAGACAAATTTATTTTAGTTCGGCAACATGACATTGGAATAATCTAATTTGTATAGTAATATATCACCAAACAGACACTTCGCAAATGGGTTCCAACTAGTTTTTTGTTAAAGTAAAGTAAAATTATCCAATTGAACAGCAACAAATGGTTAAAAAAATTAGTTTGTCTGCAAACACGACACTAGAGTAATTCAAATTCTTTAGCATTGTATTATCAAAAGTTATCGGTGTAGAGACAAAATTGAAAGGATTTTGAAGAGTTGTTAATTTAGTATTGGTTTTGATAATATAATGGGTGTAATGAGAATTATATTTTTTTTAATAGTGCAACGAAACTGAGTGTGTAAAATGATAAACTAATGATATAAGTAGAATCACTCTAAAACTACAGCCCTAGCTCATAAAGTCCTAGCATTTGGGACTTAAATGAGTCAGCAAATTTTTTTTTTTATGGAGCTTATCCTTGTATAAGATTATCTTGTGGTTAATCAACTCTTAAATTTATAATTATCATGGGTAATACAAATCATGTGCAACACCACAATAACTACAAATAAATTTAGTGTAAAATAAATCTAGTCTTACAAACATAACAAGATGATTAAAGAGTTATTTCACCAAAACCATATTGATTTTCCAAAATATAAGTAATTTTTAACTTATTTTGCACTGAGTGATTTTAACTATACTAATATATTAATACGCATATGAGATCTTTATATATATATATATATATATATTTTTTTGAATTTTACCCGCGTGAAATTATTTTTAAGAACAAAAGACTAAAATTAAATATATTTTATTATCTCCTTACACCCATTTCTCTTAATCCCTACTACTTTTTTTCCCTTCTCAATTCTTCTTCTTTGCTTCATGTCTATTTTCAAAAAATGAGAATCATGGGGTTCGTTTGGTTTGTATTTCTGAAAAAATTTTAGAAAATTTTCTCTACAAATAAGTTTTTAAAAGTAATCAAACCAAACAAATTTTCCCAAAAAAATTTCTCAAAACTTGTAAACCAAACAAGTTTTCCAAACAAATCTCTCTCTCACACACATCAAATCAATCACTTTTTCCAAAACTCTCTCTCAAAATAATTTTCCAAAACATCTTTTGAAAAAAACCAAACCAAACAACTTTTCGTACTTTTTATCTCTAAAACACATCAGAAAACAACAAATGAAGAAACGGTGGTGAAGAACCATAAAAAAAGTGAAATGGTGAATTTTTTTATTTGTTTGGTAGGTTTTCATTTTGTTTTTTGATAGAGTTCTTCTACTTTTGTTCGGTGTGTCAAAATTGAACAAAATAAAATAGTTCGGAGCCACATTGCCAAACAAAACTATATCTAGTAACCCACTGCTGAACAAAAGACACATTTTCAGTAACCCAAGGCTGAACAATTTTAATTTGTTTGTTTATTCATTACCGTGCATTTTCAATTTTATTTTTTTGCTTGCAAGGACTATGCTTTTATTAATTGCAGTAATGCAAATACAATTATCCGGCTGTTGAACATTTTGAAGGGTACTCATTTACTGGTAGATTATTTAAGGATGAAACATCTTCGTTAGTTGACATGTCAAAGAGTATGGTGCGACCAAAAGAGATATTAATTACATTGAAACAAATGGATACTTTTAATGCGACAACAATAAAGACAATCTACAATGCACGTAGAGCGATAGGTGGCCAGACAAATTTATTTTAGTTCAGCAACATGACATTGGAATAATCTAATTTGTATAGTAATATATCACTGAACAGACACTTCACAAATGGGTTCCAACTAGTTTTTTGTTAAAGTAAAGTAAAATCATCCAATTGAACAGCAACAAACGGTTAAAAAAATTAGTTTGTTTGCAAACACGACACTAGAGTAATTCAAATTCTTTAGCATTGTATTACCAAAAGTTATCGGTGTAGAGACAAAATTGAAAGGATTTTGAAGAGTTGTTAATTTTGTATTAGTTTTGATAATATAATGGGTGTAATGAGAATTATATTTTTTTTTAATCGTGTAACGAAACTGAGTGTGTAAAATGATAAACTAATGATATAAGTAGAATCACTCTAAAACTACGGCCCTAGCTCATAAAGTCCTAGCATTTGGGACTTAAATGAGTCAGCAAATTTTTTTTTATGGAGCTTATCCTTGTATAAGATTATCTTGTGGAACTTTACATTAATCAACTCTTAAATTTATAATTATCATGGGTAACACAAATCATGTGCAACACCACAATAACTAAAAATAAATTTAGTGTAAAATGAATCTAGTCTTACAAACATAACAAGATGATTAAAGAGCTATTTCACCAAAACCATATTGATTTTCCAAAATATAAGTAATTTTTAACTTATTTTGCACTGAGTGATTTTAACTATACTAATATATTAATACCATCTTTGTATAAAATAAAATAAGATTTTATGAAGTTATTTTGTCAAAACATGATTTCACGTGACAAGTTGTATTTG